TTGAGAATGAAAACAAGAACAGACAAGATGAGCAGGAAGACAGTGAAAAATCGGAAAAGTGATGTTATCAGCGATTGATTGATCGGCCGTGTAGAATTCTTCTGTACATAGTTTAGTTGTCTAGTATTAGTTTAGTTTTAAATTCTAGATTAAAAAAAAAAATTCCCATTTATATGTATTCCCATTTATGTGTAATCTGTATTATTATATCATAGTAAGCTGATATTTACATTCTCTCTAAGTGTTAAAATTGTAATCTGTTCTTAATGTTATTGTGACATTGCAGTGTTCAAGGCTAGTTTATACCTACCCATAAGTAATGGGTTTTACATTTTACTGTAACCGGACCATTCCTCATAATTGTTAATACTGTATAACGGTCTTGTCAACTTTTGTAATTTTGGTTATTAATAATTTCCGATGCAGCGCTCTGAGGTCCTAATAACTTTTTTCAGCATTACTTTTCCTCTTTTCCTTTATACTTCTCCCTTCAGAACCCTTCCTTCAACCCTTTCTTCACTCCTTTCTCTTCGTAGTGGGCTAAGTTTGCAAAAGCAGACAGCCCTTCCTCCTCCTTTATTATTATTATTATTATTATTATATGGATAAGATAGATAGGGTGTGACTCATATCCTATTTCTGAGATCAAAGAATGTTTCAATGAGAAGAAATAAAACTTATATTTAATCACTGAGCCTTCTACTGCCCCCTGAAAGCCTCTAGCACCCACAAGGGGGCGTTATCACCCATTTTGAGAAAGGATGTTGTAAATGCTTATAAATAAGCATTAATATTTATTAAAAGTAATATTATACAGAATAAATAAATAAGTAGTCTTAAAAACATCACTGTGTAAATACAAATTACACTTTTTATAGTTTGTAAATTTCTATTGTTTTATATTGTATTCATAATAAACATATATAAGACAAAAGTTGCTTCTAGCCCTTGATATAATAATATCAATTAAATTAAATTATCCACAACCGTGAGGCAGATAATAGTGACGGCTTATCAGACCAAATGATGGGCACAAACGTTCAGAGATCAAAGTGAAAACAATTGGAAACAAACAACAGTGAAAACAAAACAACAAAAACAAGTTTATTAAATTGTTTTCACTTTGATCTCTGAGCGTTTGTGCCCATCATTTAGTCTGATAAGCCCTCACTATTATCTGCCTCACGGTTGTGGATAATTTAATTTAATTGATATTATATATAAGACAGATAGAAATTCACAAAGTATGAAATAGATATATGATAAGCCTAGTTAAAAATAATTTTTTTTAAAATATTTACTATATCAAAATTGTTTACAAAATTTCATGAAAACTTCTTTAATACTGAAAACATAAAATTTAATTACTTTACTTAATACTTGTATTTTTAAATTATTTCTATCAAAATTATACCAAAGTTAGATTTTAAAAAATAACAATTATTGTGACATCATCATAATGCTGGGATAAATTAATCATATTTTTAATTTATTTAATTTAAAATATATGCTCTCCACCTCAAATTAGTACTGTAGTGTCTTGCCCCTGTACATCATACTTTTCCATTAGCAATGGAGTCTTGCTGGTCATCTATTAATTAACTGCTTTCAGAGAAAAAGTTTTGAATTGAAATAACATGAGTTCAATTTTTTTAAGTTCATATATAGGGCCTCCTACCCCTAAGCTTTCCATGATCTTGAATTTTATTTATCTAATACCATTCTTGAGATTAAGGAAAGACAGATGGATGACAGTCGGAATTTATAGGTCTACAATTTTTTTCAAATTGCAGCTCAATAATGACTTTAAAGTTGAATTATTAGCTCTTTCAATTCATTAATCAAGAATATTTTTATGTAATATTTTCAAGTTGCAGTTTAATTTATTACATTTTATATTTTTACATCTCAAAAATTTTCAGAAGAAATCAATTTCTGTAATCAAAATCAAAATCAGAAGAAATCAATCAATTTAATATAAATAATTTAATATCATCTTCAAATTGATTCAAAATAATGGGAGAACAGTTTCTAAAAAGAAATCATAAAATTAAAAAAATGTATAAAATATAAACAATAATCAATTATTTTTCTTGTTTTGTTTGTCCACTTCAGAAAATTTCAGAACTTAAAAAATTTTCATAATGCCTGCCAATGAAATTCACTAAAATTAAACCAAAATAAACCCTAATTCTGACTATTTACAGAATTACTTTAAATATAAATCACATTTCAAATTGATAAAAGAAATTTTAATTGCACTATCAAATCCTCTATTTATAAATGAATACAAAAGAACATCAATTATCCAAAATAATCAAGACAGGACACTTTCAGATAACTAATCACATCCAATAGGGAAAGAATGAAAAATAAATACCTTAAAGTAAAAATATTAATTTTAATTCTAGTACAAAGTAAAAAACTTAAAGCATAGAAATTTAATACATAAAAATGATTAGAAATACAGTAGAGCAGGGGTGGCCAAACCGTGGCGCATGCGCCAAACTTGGCGCATTGGACGATTACAAGTGGCGCTTTAGTCAGTTCTGAGCAACATTGCCAGATTTGGCTTCTTTGCAATTAAGAATATTACATAGAAAATTAATTTTTTATAGTCTGTCTTGGCAAGTTCATTTGTTGCACAATTCGTTGCAATCAACTTTACAGATAAAATGAGTGTTCTCCACATAGTAAATTACAGTGTATGCATGTATGTTTATTTTCGATCAGTGCATAGGCGTCTAAATGACAGTGCTACCGT